AAAGTATTATTTTTCCAGTTCAAGGAATGGTCGATCATCCACATTTCGATAGAAAAAAACATGGAAGCAGACATATTGGCCTATTTGGGGTCATCCACGAAAATGAAAGGAATTAATTCCAGTGCGGTCGTTAACTGCTATATTCGGTAATAGATGTGGACAGATATTATGATGTTAACTCAACCAATCTAATTTGGGATTGGATAAATGAGTTTATAGAGTATTTAAGGCATGTCAAATTGCCTAAAGATCCAAAAGCATCCTGGGCACTACAGACTAAAGATGCTCATTATTGTCTTGTTGACAGACAATTGTGCAGGAGATCTTTTCAAGGGTCATTGGCTCGGTGTTTAGGGACATCGGAGACTGACTACGTGATGAGAGAAGTTCACGAAGATTATATAGGAACCACTCCAGTGCAGACTTGTTGGTTCTCAAATTGATAAGGGCTGACTACTATTGGCCCCAGATGGAGCAAGACGCGAAAGCATTTGTACAAATATTTGATAAATATCAGTATCATGCACAGTTAGTGCATCAACCAGCGGAACTTTTGCATTCGGTGGTATCACCATGACTATTTATGAAATGAGAAATGGACATAGTTGGTCCCTTACCACAAGGACCCTGGAAGGTAAGATTTCTTTTGGTTTAAACTGACTAGTTTACTAAATGGGTTGAAGTAGGTGCTTACAAAAAGATCGGAGAACGAAAAGTGATGGATTTCATATGGGTTCACATCATCTGTCTGTTTGGAATACCAAATGAAATCGCTTGTGACAATGGGCCGTAATTTAAAGGTTCCAAAGTTACAAAGTTTTTGGAAAGATTGAATATCAAACGGATTACATCTTCACCGTACCATCCAAGTGCTAATAGACAAGCAGAGTCTACCAACAAGATAATGATTCAAAATCTCAAAAAGCTAGAAGATGCTAAAGATAACTGGCCAGATGAGCTACCGGGTTTGCAATGGGCATATCGAACAACGGCGAAATTAGCACAGGTGAAACACTATTTTCACTTGTGTACAGTGCGGAAGCTTTGTTCCCAGTGGAGATTGGAGAACCGACCATAAGGTATTCCCAAGAAAATGAGGAGGCATATAATGAAGCACTGCTGATTAAACTGGATTTTCTTGAAGAGCATCGAAATCTGGCATATGTGATGATGGTAGCACAAAAGCAAAGAATGGAAAGATATTACAACCGCAGAGCAAATCTTCGATATTTCAAAGTCGTAGATTTAGTTTTGAGAAAAGTAACTCAAAGTACTTGAAAGGTTAACACTGGGAAGATGGGACCAATATGGGAAGGACCTTACCGAATTTTTGCTATAACTGTAAAAGGTTTGTATCAATTGGAGAATCAAGATGGAGTTAAATTGCCAAGCAATTGGAGCGTAACTCACCTCAAAAGGTATTACTATTGAAGATCCTTGCTGATTCTGAAAGTATGTGCTGCACTCATATTCTCTTCGTCCTGTTTTTATCCCAATTGGATTTTTCTGGCAAGGTTTTTAATGAGGCATCAATGAAAAGCATACTTCGAAGAAAGGGCCATCCGCGATAGAAAGATCTACAGTGTTCTAATTCTCATACTTAGCATCCGAACATTGGGGGGGGGGGAACTATTTCATACTAAGGCACTAAAAGTGTTACAAAGACCGGGGACTATTAGATCCGGAGTCTATGTCTTATCAGGACCGGGATTGCATATTCAGTCCCATAGAAATAAGTTGTACAAGTTAGTCACATGTATTGGTAGCTTTGTTTACTTAAGAAAATAAATGTTTATGTAAATGTACTTTTAAATATAAAAGGAATAAATCGGAGTCCTTTTGTTTTTATCTTATATCTTGTCCGAATGATATGTTAAATTATTTTCCATTTAAAAGTTAAATAAAACTTCAAGAGCTTTTGCCGAAATGAACAGGAAACGTCTTCTTCAAGAGCACTTTAAAAATAAGGTTCGTCTCTTATGAAACTCTCATAGTCAAAGGGGTAAATACTAGAAGTGTCAGTACCCGAGATCAAAGTTATCGGATAAATATAAAAAGAACTATGATCTTTATCAGTTAAGTAAAAGGAATAATTTTTGCACTATATGTAAGCAAAAAGTTTCTTTATTACTTTAACAGCCAAACTCAATAAATAAGTTTTGGAATAATTACAAAAGATATAAAAAACAATATGCATCAGTTGTTTTTGTTTGTTGGGTCCGGAGGAAGGGAAGTGTTTTTTGCTTCATTTACAAGTGAAGGTTGTTCCACATCCGGACCAAGTCCTTCATCCTCATCTTTTACTTCTTCTTCAGCTTCCTCTTCGGTTCCCGACTACTCAAAGCTAGAGTTCGAAGAGTCAAAAATAACGGGCCGAGCAGGGAGGTTTTCGAGAGTAGTTGTCTCCAATCCACGAGCCTTCTTGTGATAAATTGCATAGGTTTTCTCGAGGAGGAAAGAATATTCCTTATCTTTGAGTTTAGCTCGAAATTTTTTAATTTTCGATTGAAGCTTATCATTTTCAAATCTCACAATGTTGATCGTGGAATCAAGTTCAGTGTTGGTTGTTGAAATGATGATGGTTCTGCTCCATAAGCTTTTTGAGCCTTTCTTCCATTATGGCTCTCTTTTCCTCAGCAGCAGTAGCCTCTTTGGTTTTGGAGCGTAAGCTAGCCTTCAAGTTATTGATTTTTTTCATGAAGGAAGACTCACGCTCGGCCGCGGCAGTAACGGCATTATACAGTACAGCCCACTTGGCCTTCGCCTCCTTAAGTTTTTCATGTAATTGAGCGACTTCTTGGATGTGGTCCATTTTGTCTTTCTTGGATTGCTCTACTCGAGCTTCGAGCTTGCCTATTTGAGAAACTTTTTCTTCCATCACTGGGAAGCTCTCGGCAAGCTGATTCTGTTTGGCCAAAAGTTGATTTCGTACCGTGGTAAGTTTTGGTAACCTCCACCAGCTTGAAAATTATGTGGCACTCATTCGAAACTATAAGAATGACACTCCGTTTTTTATTGGGATTTTGAATGGGTGCCGCGTAAGTGTTCCCCAAATTTCCATGGTTGGATGACTGTGGGAAAGGAACATCTTTTATCAATTCGGATGGGGCCAGTGGAGAGGTAGCAGCTAGAGTAGGAAAAATAAAAATTAGCAAAGAAGGAAGTCTTTTTAATGCAATAAGGAAAAGATATCCGAACACTTACGAGTAAAATTTCAAGATTCAGAAATGGCAGATGTTATTGTTGGGAGAATATCCTTGGAAGCAATGACAACAAACCATCCTATCCAATCACGATCATTGTCATGATTAACACTGGTAAAGATAGTGTGGTGGCCGTGTTTGCTGAGCTTTAACACACCTCCACAGAAGATCTTTGGAGAATAGAAATTGATCAAGTATGCGAGAGTTAGGATTTCCCCAGTCTCGAAGCACAGCTTTCGAAGGCAAGCCATCGTACGCCATACTAATGGGCCTGCTTGAACCAAACAGATTTGGTAACGATGGCAGAATTCTAAAATTATGGGGTCAATTCCTTGGCCCAACTCAAAGTGAAAAGTTATGTATAAACATACATGAACCCTGGTTTTGAGAAGGGGACCATTTCCACCTCATTGGGGGCGAAGATTTTAATGTTATTCCAATCGCATTATTCTTTCACGACGAGAATGTTAGAAAGACGAATGGAAGAAGGATACCTGCGAACATGCCAGTGTTTGTCGCTTTTGGGATTAACAGGTACTTTTTGGACTTGAAGGTCTGACTGGTTGTTAAGTTAAAGGGGTATGATGGAGTTAACAGTAGGAGGTTCAGATTCGACATCAACTTCCATTCTTTTGTTCTTTTTAGGGCCACCATCGAAGAGAAGGTCAAAGTTTCCGACGATAGTGGTATTAGAATACATGATGGTAAGAAATTGGAGTAAATCGATTTTACTGGGAAAGATAAATTTTGCAATAGAGTTCTAAGAAAATTCGTAGAAGAAGAAGAATTTGTAAAAGTGAAGGTAAAAGTGATGAGTAGTGAAAAATTTTATAGACGGCAAAATTTCTGGTCATGATTACCTTAAAAACTGGCAAAAATATTTGCCGAATCACGTGATAACACGTATTCTGGTCATTAAATGCGAGAAAACATACTTCTTTTCAAGTGTCAGAAATCATTCAGAAACTTTTCCACCAAGAAAAAGGGTCTTATCTACTTCCCGTTAACATAAAGTTTTGTCACCGGAAAGTAGGGAAACTATCTGCATGGGGTAAAATTGGTTAGCGACAGTTGGACGAATGACTAGATGACATGTGGAATTGAATACATGTAAGATATGAGTCAGTAAATAGTTGGCACCGGATACGAGCATGCAACAGGTGTTGAGTGAGTTCCGAAAACATTGAAATCGAGAACGAAGGTTTGAAAGTGATACATCGGTTGGAAAAGACAACATTCAATGAGCAGCTGTTACAAGGAATCTCTGTATTAATGATCAATCATTATATAACCGTCAATAGGGGTTTATTCTCATTCAAGAAGAACTTGATTTGGGGATCTTGTCTCCCTAAATAGAGCTATAAATAGGAAAACTTGTATCCATGGTTGGACATGAAAAATCATGTGTACTCAAAGGCTATAATTTGATCTCATATTATAAAATTTCTTACTTTCTTTGTTCCTAACATTGTTCTTATTATTGCTTTCAGAGAGGCTCATCATACAACCATGCTTGTATTTAATTTCTTTTAAGTTATTTTTATAATCTTGATTCTATTCTTATTTATTTCATATTTTTGGATCAAATTAATTCATGTGTCTTTAAGCCACGTTACAAATTCAAGTGTGTCATTTTATGGGTAAATATACTCCTTGTAGACGGACCGGACCCAATATCAATTTTCCCCCAACAATTGACGCTGAAATATGATTTTTGTCCATTTCTTTTTTAATCTTTTGAGAACAGTAAACTTACTCCAAAATAAATTGGATGACAAAATCTCACTGCAATGCTAGTAACGGCAATGCGTACGTCTTTATCGTTAACCAATACATTAAACTCGAAAAATTAACTAATGAATATATAATTCATGTAACATTTAATCCAGAATGTAGGTCAGCCACAAGGTATGTGGACGGCAACGCGCCATAGCCATTTTTTCTTTGCTTAACGACATATAAATAGTGTACAATATTACGTTAGGCCAATGGAGATGTCTCGAAGTCAAACCCTTGATTAAGAAAAGCACTAGCTATCCATAACTTCAAGTTGCCTAAGTTTATGTCCACCTCATATTCTCTTACCTGTTTATCCATTTACACACAAAAAAGAAGAAAAAAAGAAATTACTCATGTTAGTTAGCAAGAGAATGTGTTAGATTTGAGGAAAGGAATAGGGAGTCAACTAATAAGTTTCTAGGGGATTAATTACATGTAAAACTTACATTAAGAGTGAACGTCAAAATATAATCATCTGAAGAAGTAGCCAAGTTGGAGCTTTGAACGTAGAATCCAGTGAGAGAGTCAAGAGCTTTGAATAGAGAAGCTGCAACATGTCGCCCTTTATTGCACACTAATCTCACGTAAGATCCTTTTTCTTCTACTTGGAAAACGTCCATCTGCATTAGTTTATCATGTTAATTAGCAATTTGCTTTTTGGTTATAAAAAAGCGTTGACAAATATTTGGTTTTAATAACAAAGACCTTTGATATTTTCTTGATTGCTGGATAATAGCTCGTGAAATTCATTTTCTTAGCATTTTGAAATGCTCCACCTTTATTATCGTTCATTCCGTTGAGTGATGATTCAAGACCTGCTACTTCTATTTTTAGTTTCTTAGCTTCTGTTTGCAGCCCTTGTACGTATAGTATTGCATCTCCAATTACGGAGGCTTTATCCAGCTGCCGATAAAAACATTCTTCACTTAGAAATACGCTTTAACCAAAAAATAAAGAATAGAGTGAGAAACAAGCATCATCATGCTCCTATAACGTAAAGATTTTTACATAACCAGTTTCTTAAAATGCTAAATATGAGTAAATTTTATATTTTAAGCATTATTAAAAATACTATAAACGGCTTATTACAACATGTTAAGCTAGATTAACACTCCCTTCATCTTAAAAAGGATGATACTTTTTCGGGATTTAGAGAGTCAAATTTGACCGCAAATTCCGACATACATTCTTAAAGCTTTTTGAAACAAAATTTACATTTTTAAAAACTAATACATAAAAGGTTAATTAATAATTTAAAATATTTATAAGGTTTATGAAAAGTCGTGGTAAAAAAACAACTCATTTGAATCTAGAAATTCAAAAAGTATCGTCATTTTTTTAGACGGATGGAATAATTTAGTAAGGTATTTTCATACCGTTAGTACATAAGATAAGTTCTTTCACCCTATAAAATGCTAATGAAGTTACTAACCTTTGTAATATTAGGAACTAAGGAACGCAAGGCGTAAAGCTTTTCCTTCATTCTTCCTCTCCTTTTTCGCTCAGAAACCAAAGTTCGGTCAGTCCTCGTGCTATTCTTTGTTGGCGTTGCCGGCGACACCGTCCTGGTGGTGGTTGTTGTTGTTGCCGAAGATTCATCAAAATCGTTATCTTCCTCTTCTCCTTCTTCTTCTGCTTCTTCCCTAAGATTCATTTCTTTAGGAAGGGAAGCATACAACGAAATAGGATCAGACATGTTTGTAGCATTCCAATCAAAGAAATCTGTGGATGCTGGCTCAAATTGGACATTGGCCTCAGAGAAACAACCAGTAATGTGCTCACAATCATTGTTTGGGAAAAACGTAACAATGGGGTCAGCAGTTTCACCCCTAATGAGCTCAATGAACTGATCAAAGTTTTCCTCGTCAATGAAATTAATAAGGCCCACATCATTAACATTTTCCATTGGCATTGTTGAGTATGCATTAGCACTCTCCATTTTCTTTTGTCTATTTAATTTTTCCTCTCTTACTCTTTCAGTAAGATGGATTGATGGTGAGAGGTCTACCGAGGATTTATAGATGGTAGAGAAAATTATTTTAGTTTTATATTTTTATTAGTGTGAACGGAATCGAAGATAGTTTATTTGCAGAAGTTCGAACTATAATTAAAACCCTAAGGTAGTTGGCAAATGGTGGAGATGGTATTTCCATGTACTTCTTGACCTTAGTTTTATTATCCTTAGAACTATTAAATTTAAGCATCAGATGAACCTGCACCAGGTACAGCATTGGTGATGAAAGGGAGGACGTCATGATCTAATTTTAGTATTATTAAAGATTCTTGCTGAAGTATTATTTGTGCCTACATTAAATAGTAGTCGGACTAGGACATGATTTAATATACTAACTACTCTCACTTTAATTTGCACCATCCACATCAGTATAAACTTTACATACAGTAGTTTTTTCACAATAAGGTCAAAAATAGTATGGTTCTCTTCCAAATCGACTTGACATAAAAGGAAGGAAATTGGATATAGAATACAATAGTAGAGGTGAAAAGACGTACATACAATTATTGAGGTCTATAATAATCAGTAAGTTTCTTTTTGACATTACCATTTAACATAATAAGTGTAAGCAAGGGATCAGGGATTACACATGCCGTTTCTCAAATTGATACTATGTCTTTATATCTCAAAATGGTTTACTAATTTCTTATCATCAACTTTTACGTTTTTTGTAACGATCCGGCCGGTCATTTTGAGTGTTATATCCCTGTTCCCCATTTACTGCTCATTTTATGCTTAATTATTACTATGTGACTTGCCGAGGTAGTTGATTCGCTTCCGAGGATGTTTCGGAATGAGTTGAGACACTTAGTCTCATGGTCGGAAGCTTAAGTTTAAATAGTTGACCGGATGTTGACTTATGTGTAAATGGCTCGAGAATAGAGTTTTGATGGTTCCGATAACTCTGTCAGGTGATTTTGAACTTAGGAGCATGTCCGGATAGTAATTTGGAGGTTCGTAGATGATTTAGGCTTGAACGCGAAAGTTGGAAAATTAAAAGTTTTGGAAATTGAGAAGTTTGACTCAAAGTTGACTTTGTGGTTATCGGGCTCGGATTGTGGTTTCGAGAGTTGGAATGCGTCTGTTATGTCATTTATGACTTATGTGCAAAATTTGAGGTCAATCGGACTTGGTTTGATAGGTTTCGGCATCGAATGTCGAAGTTAGAAGTTCATTAGGCTTGAATCGATGCATGATTTATGATTTTAACATTATTTGATGTGATTTGATGCTTCGAGCGAGTTCGTATGATATTTTAGGACTTGTTGGTATGTTTGATTGAGGTCCCGGGGACCTCGGGTGGAGTTCGGATGGTTAACGGATCCAAGTTTGGAATTGAAGAATTTCTTAAGCGCACCAGGTCTGGTGCGATCGCACCTGCGCGGAGTTTTGGTCGTAGGTGCGTGGCCGCAGAAGCGAAGGATTGGTCGCCGGTGCGGTTTGGACGAAGTTGGGCAGTGGTCGCAGGTGCGAGGGTTTTTCCGCACCTGTGTGGTCACAGATGCGGGGATGGCTCGTAGAAGCGAGGTTGATTGGGTTGTTGATTGGTCGCAGGTGCGAGGGAAATGACACATTTGTGAGCCCGCAGGTGCGAGCAAGACTCCACAAATACGTAGAGTGGAAGGATGGGTTGCCTTCGCAGAAGGGGATCAAGGGTCGCAGAAGCGCTTCTGCAGGTGCGGAAATTTGAGCGTCGGTGCGGACCATGTGGACTTAAGTGACTTCCGCAGAAATGGAACTTTCATCGCAAAAGCGATTTCGCTGGTGCGGAGATCTGGCCCGCAGGTGCGAAAGCACTGGGTAGAATGTTAAATTCGAGGGTTTCGTGATTTTTAGCATTTTGGACTTTGCAATCTCGGACTAAGATAATTTTTGAGAGGGACTTCGAAGGGTTTCTTGAGGTAAGTCACTTATGATCATTTTTATTTAATAATTTTGTTTCGATGTTGATTTTACCACCTAATTTGTGTGTTTTAGTGGTGGAATGTTATGAGTTTTGGGCCTGGGATTGGAGGGTTAAATTTGAAGATTTGGGTGACGATTTGGTGTCGGATCTGAGTAATTTTGGTATGGTTGAACTTGTGGTTGAATAGGCTTTTAGATTTTGTAACTTTTATTAGATTCCGAGATATGGGCCCAGGGGTTTACTTTTGAGTTGAATTTTTGACTTTTGATTAAGAACTTAGCATTTTTATATGGAATTGATTCCTATAGCTTGAGTTGATTATATCGAATTATTTGTGGCTAGATTCGAGGCGTTCGGAGGCCGATTCGCGAGGTAAAAGCTTGCAAGCGGAGTGATTTGATTTGCTTGAGGTAAGTATAGTATTTAAACTCGACTGAGGCACCAGTTGCCTAAGTTGCTGTGATAGCCACGTGATTTTGGGTGCGCACATGCGTGGGGATGAGCCCATGTGCGTGCACCGGGATTATATATTCATGTTTGGGTTGTTCTTGGGCTCGTATAAACCTAGAAATGACTGTTAAGCTTTAATCTTTGATATCTCATACGTTGTAACAGTTTATGTGATCTTATTGAGCCATGATGAGGCTACTTAGAGGTTTAACCCCTGAGCGAACTTAATAAATGATTTTCATTGATGAAATTGTCGGTTTGAGCTACGATAGTACACTTTGCACATGCCTGTACTTTAGCATGTAATTTACACCAGTCCAGGGACATGAGAAATCTTATTTCATTCATCATATACCTGTATACTTGCTTTATTGGTTCTGTATGATATATTTGGACTAGGGCATACGGTTATGCCGAGCGAATTATGTTATTAGCACGTGCGTTGTTCGTGCAGCACGTGAGTTGTCCGTGCAGATCCATGTATTGATATTATTGGCACGTGAGTTATTCGTGCAGATCCATGTATTGATATTATTGACACGTGAGTTGTCCGTGCAGATCCATGTATTGATATTATTGACACGTGAGTTGTCCGTGTCGCACGTGAGTTATCCGTGCATGTTTTATTATTAGCACGTAAGTTGTCCGTGCAGCACGTGCGTTGTCCGTGTAGTGTGTGGAACTTGTATTTCCTTGATCATATATCTAATTACTTGTTTCCTTCCTCTACATGCCATAATACTATTTGGGTAGGGTATTTGAGAAACAGTGCACATGCACACACGGATATTCTTCTCACGAAGCCTTATGAGTTAGTTTTAAATATTGTGTTATGCTGGTTAAAAAGGGCAGAATTACACTGAATTAACTAGTATCCCCAATAATTTAAGCTTCTCTTTCCTTGCCTTGTTTATTTGCGATACGTATTGAGTTGGTTGTACTCATATTACACCCTGCACCTCGTGTGCAGATCTAGGCATTTCTGGGCATGATGGTTGTTAATCGTGGAGTTTTTACATGTTCGGAGATTATCGAGATAGCTGCTTTGGCATCCGCAGACCTTGACTCTCCTCCCCTATCTATCAGTTTTATTTAATAAGTTCTACTTTATAGACAGTGTATTAGATTATGTCATTATATAGATGCTCAAGTACTTAGTGACACCCAAGTTTTGAGAATTTCTATATTGAGTTGTGACGTTTCATCCGATTTTATAAGATTTTCATTATTTAAACCTGTTTTTGTATGTTTTTCATTTGAAAGTGTTGGAATATGTGAGTTGTCGGCTTGCCTAGTATCATGATATGCGCCATCACGACATGTTGTGTTTGGGGTCATGACAAGTTGGTATCAAAGCCTATGTTACATAGGTCTCACGAGTCATGAGCAGGTTTAGTAGAGTCTTGCGGATCGGTACAGAGATATCTGTACTTAATCTTTGAGAGGCTGTCGAACCTTTCGGAAAACTTCACATTATTGTATTCTTGTCGTGCGAAATTTTTGATTCCGGGAACTAAACTTCTGTTATTCTATTCTCTCACATGTGGTGAGGACACGTGCTACCGGACCGGACGGATGGCCACCGGTACCAACAGTTAGGGCCAAGAGAGGCCGAGGCTGTGGTCGAGGCCAAGGTGCAGCTCGTACAGCAGCTAGAGCAACACCTGCAGACCCACCAGTTGCTCCAGCTCAGGAGCAGGTTAAAGATGTGGTTGAGCTAGTGTGACCAATTCATGCACCAGTTGTGCCCATTGTGATTACAGGCCTTCAGGAGGCTTTGGCTCAGATATTGACTGTTTGCACTTGCCTTGCTCAGGCGGTTTCTGTTCAGACCGCACCAGCCACTTATCAGGCCGGGGAGGGTACTCGGGCTCCCGCCGCCCGTACTCCAGAGCAGGTAGTGCAGGGACTTCAGACATCGGGGTATTACAAGCCTAGCTGGTTGCTGTCGCTCAGGCCCAGGTGGGTCCCATTATATCTGATGAGGAGCAAAAGAGGATAGAGAGATTGGAGAGGCTCAGGCCTCCATCATTCAGTGGGGCTAAGTCAGAAGATGCCTAAGACTTCTTGGATAGGTGCCAGCGGATTCTTCGCACGGTGGGTATTTTGGAGACTAGTGGAGTCTCCTTTACTACATTTCAGCTATCAGGGGCTGCCTTCAGATGGTGGGAGGCCTATGATAGGCGCATGCCAGTCGGTGTAGCACTACTTACATGGCATGAGTTCTCTTTTCTCTTCTTGGAGAACTTTGTGCCACAGATCCGCAGAGAGGAGCTGGGAAGGCAATTCGATAGCTATGTCAGGAAGGCATGTCTGTGACCCAGTATGAGATGAGATTTTCAGAGTTGGCTCGTTACACAGTTTGATTGGTTTCCACTGAGAGGGAGAGGATTAGGAGGTTCATTTATGGCCTCCACTATCAGTTGCGTTTTGTTATGACTTGGGAGAGTGTATCAGGTGCTACTTTTGATGAGGTGGTTGATATTTCTCAGTGACTTGAGATGGTTCGTAGTCAGAAGCGTGAGGAGAGGGAGGCTAAGAGGCCTCATGGTTTGGGTGGTTTCAGTGGTATTCCTTCTGGTGGCAGTCCTACCACAGCAGGGGTCGTCCTTATAGGCCCGCTCAGATGGCATGTCCAGCTCATTGTGGTGCATTAGTTAGCCACAGTTCTTATAGTGCTCGTTCGGGTCAGTCATCATTCAGTAT